GCACTACGACCCCGCCGGCTACACGACGTTCTGGTGCCGCTACAAGTACAACGAGGACAACAAGATGCAGTTCATGACGGCGAACCTGATCCGCGGGTGGTTCCAGCGCATGGAGCACGTGCGCAAGTACGCCTTTGGCGTCGCGCTGATCGTTGGGGAGGAGAAGCGGCACGACATTGTGGCGCTGTGGGTCTTCCGCGGCAAGGGCATGCCGGAGATCGTGGCCGCGGTGGAGGACACGGAGCTGTTCGACTGGGAGGAGGTGGCCGACGTCGCGGCGCAGCGGGAGCGCATCACGGACTACCTCTGCTGGGAGGGCCCGACGATCCCGAAGCCGGTGCTGGAGGGGCGCGTGTTCAAGTGAGCGTGCGGGCGCGTCTAGGAAGCGGAAATAACACTAACTGTAACTGCGAGGGTAATAGGGAAGGGAGTGGAGGCGAGGAGTGGTTTTTTTTGTTTTGTTTTTGTTTTTGTTTTTCCTGCTGCGCCCACCTGCTTGCGGTGATGGTGGTGGCGTTGGGGCAGGGGCGGAGGCGGCGCCGCTCCCGTCGCGTGGGGATGGCGGGGCTTGGCCGCTCTCTTCTTTTTTGTCGTTGTATTTTTTTCCGTGGCTCTGGCATGGCTCTTCTGTTGGTGTTCTGGTTCGGTGTGGGTGTACCGTGTAGAATTTGCCCTGCTCTCCACATAAGCGGAAGTGTAAGAGTGAATTAACGGCGCTTCGAGAAATAACAGGGGGTCATAAGTAAAGTGTCTAGGGAACGGCGGTAACGGCGCGATACTCAGCGACATCATCGTCGGAGCGGAGGTAGCGGAGGGTGAGACGAGTTAGTGGCACGTGTAGGGATGGGAGCGCGGAAGTTGTTTCTCGCTGCGGCGGCAGGGGCCGTCGTCGCCGGCACCGCAGTTTACGTCGTGGTGAGGCGGCGGCGCGTGGATGCGGCTGTGGAGGAGGACTTTGACGCCTTTGCTGGGCCCGTCGTCGTGAAGGACGGGGCTACCACCACGGCGAAGGCAGGCGACGCTTCAACCAACGTCGACGCCGCCGCCCCCGCTGCAAGCACAGAACGGAAGGAAGAGCCGCTGCCTGGGGCGAAGACGGGGGATGCGGCGTTGGTGGGAAACAAGCTGCTCGCCGAGGCGCTGGATGAGATTGACGTGCAAACTGCAGTTGAGCCGAGGCCAGCGCAGGCTAACACCACGGAGAGCTCTGTCTCTCGCAAAGGTGGTGAGAAGAAAAAGGACTTCCCGCTGCTTGGCTTGTCCGTGACACTGCCTCCCGACTGGGAGATACGGGAGGATCTTTCCCCGTTCCCCAATGTGGCGATGCTGGTAGTGTTTAATAAGGACATGGAACCGCAGGACGCACAGCAGCAGCAGCTGCAGGAGGCCGGGTCGGTGCCAATGATCGTGGTGTCCGTGGAGGACATCCGGGGGGACAACGTTGAATTAGTTGAATTCAAGGAACGTTGCAAGGAGCTTGCGATAAATCAAATGCTCATGATGACAGGTGGGGCGATTCAACCCCTCGTCACGAAGGACGCTGCCGTGCAGGAGGGGCCATTCCGCTATGCGCTGGAGTACGCACAGAGCCTCCCACCCCTGTACGAAATCAAGGTGTTGAACTTGATGGAGGTGCGAAACAGCATCGCCTACACGTTTCAAATCATGTGTGCGCCGAAGCTTATGCCGAAGTTTAAGCCCGTGTTTATGAAGATTGCGCGGAGCATGCGCATCGAGGAGAACATTGACACCACCTTGGGGCACGTGGAGCTGCACACGGGTGAGGTGAAGGTGGATATTGACACCACCTGGGGTTGGGAATATCCGGGTAAGCACGACGCCCTGGCCACGTTTACGACGTCGTCGAATGTTAAAAAGGAGGAAATCAACCTCTACGCGCAGGCCGCCGTCCCCGAGTCGGCGTATAAGCCACGCGAGGAGAAGACTGTTAATGGTGTTGTCATTGTCTCCGCCTACGATGGTGCACAGCAGCAGAAGTCTTTCACGTGCAACGGCTATACGCTGGTTGTGAAGCCGCTGCAAAAGGCCACTTCTTCTCTCGCTGAAAAGGACCTGGTGGCCGTCGTGAAGTCCGTCGCGCCTTCAACGCTGCCGCCCAAGCCCAAGAAGGGTGGCACATTCGTGAATGCCGAACACGGCTATCAAGTGGATATTGCGGGTGGTAGTCGCATTGTGGCGAGCCGCATCGGTGGCGGCTCCGTCGCGTACGCCCCCAAGGGCCCCGTCGATGGAGCGGCGTCTGAGGAGCAGCCGCCCGCGGTCACCATTCGCGTGGGTAGCCCTGAAAACGACGCGGACTGCATGGGCTCCCTGGAAGAGTGGACGGAGCGAATGAAGTTGGAGGCGGCGGAGAGCGACATTAGGGAGATCAAGCAAACCAAGATCAACGGTGAGCCCTGCCTGACGTTTATCTCGCAGAACATGGAGGAGATCGCGCCGGGGCAGCGCACGGAGGTGCGGGGAAAAGTCTTTATTTTTGTTCGCGACGGCAAGACGACGCTGCTGCGGTGGGAGATGGAGTCGGGACTCTGGAGGAAGTTTGAGCGCGAGATGAACGCCTTTGTGGAGTCGCTGCGCTTCATCTGAAGTGAGGCGGACGAGGCGCCCGCACGCCGCCCCCGTGCCACCGATGAACCCCGGCCCCGGCCAGCACGCATGGCCGACGGAGACGCAAGGCCGCGAGCAGGCAAATGCAACACAGAAGAAGATTCGCAAAATAAAAATAATATAATAAAATAAAATAAAAACATAAAATGGGCGTGCTGCACACAGAAGACGCAATGCCGGACGGAGGAAGGCAAACGAAGGACAAAACATGTGTTTTTGTTTTGTTTTTTGTTTTTTGTTTTGCTTCGTCATGTATGGAAGGAAGAAGCGCCGTGAAGCGACACGAATTGTGGTGGGTGTTTGTTTCTTGAGGAATAGAAAGCTCCGCGCGTGGGCGAGCACGGGACGCGCGGGGTGTGAAGGTGGGATATGAAACCTCCACACAGAGAGAAATGATAGGGACGAGGAGTAGCAGCTGTGCGTGTGTGTGTGTGTGTGTGTGTTGCGTATGCGCGCCTCCCCGCCCCGCTCTCTGCTCGCAGGAAGAAAAAAGGAGCTGCGACCCCGCCGCTCTTGTCTCACCGGCGGTTCCTTTTTCTACCGCACTTGTGTGCCTGTGGCTGCCGGACGAAGCAATAAAATGAAGAAGGAGAAGGAAACAAGGTTGGCGGTGGATGGGGTGTTGTGCGGCGGCGCGTCGTGGGTGGCGTAGGGTGAGAAGAGCTGTGGTCTCGCGTGGCTTCGCCGTTGGAGCGGCGTCCCGCACTGACCTTCAACCAGTGATGCAGCACGTGCACGCCCGCACGGAGCGAGTTGAGGGAGTGGAGAGGGGGACAAGAAGACGAGGGAAAAACAAGATAAAAAAAAAACGATGTTGAAGCGGCAAGATTTAAGTGAATTGGGTGGGATTGATTGGCGGAGAATTAATTATGTTTACTTATTTTTTCTTCTTGAGGCTTTCGTAGGGAACTTTTAACGCTTTGTGCCTCTGAAGAGG